GAATGTGCTGGCCTGGCCTGGGCAGGGCGCTGCCAGGGTGCAGCATCTGCCGGCAGTGCCATGTGTCACTACTGCCCTTTGCTCTGTCTAACCTTGGGGCGACGGCAAACAAGCCAGGTGAGGCCGGGCAGACCGCTGCCTGCCAAACACCCGGGCAATGATTAAGCTGGAGGCAGCAGGAAAACCGGGGGTGTGAGCAGGGGAGGGCACAGGATGCTGCCCCAGACCTCAACGGGGCTCTGGGTGACACGGGCAGCTGCGTGCAGGGTCCCATGGGTGCTCCCTGGCTGTGTTTCATCTCTGAAGGGTGCTCGGGGGTGCAGAGGGTTGTGCTGGGTGATTGCCACCTCCTGCGTCTGGAGTGTGGGTGGTGATGCACGGATCTGGCTCATCTGGATCAGACCTTTGGACTCCCCTGAAGGTGCCGCTCCCTGCCCAGCTGTGCCAAAGATCCCTGCAGATCTTGGGGACGATACCTGGGAACAGGAAAAGACATTTCCCACCCATGCGTGTCACTGCTGATTGCAGATATGCCTTCCCTGTGCCCAGATTCGGGTGTTTCGGCAGGGCTCACGGAGCCCAGCAGGGACTGAAGGCTGGTTTCAGGCAGCGTGCCCCTTGGTGTCACCCTGCGCGGCTTGGCAGACGCACAGCCCATGTCACCAAGGGCTCCCCCCGCCACAAGCCCTGCCTGCAGGGTGCAGGGCGGGTAAGCCGAGGTGCACCGCCCCGCACCAGGGGCTTGCGCGCAGTGGGCAGAAGTGGCCGAGGGCAGCTGGGCACAACCCCTCGATGGGACACAGCTCTGCTGGCATCTGGGAGGGGGACACGAGGGCTGATGGGCAGGGGCTGGGCAGGGGCTGGAGTGGGGCAGGAGGGCAGGCAGGGGGCGCGCGTGTGCGCGCGTGTGTGTGTGTGTGTGCACATTTCTGCAAGCAGTGGCAGGCGAGGGGGGGGTCACTGCCCCTGGGTACCCCGAGTTGTGCACAGAGCCAAGCCCATCCCTCTCACACATATAGTCTTTTTGGGCAGGGCTTCCTATGGCCCAAAGGGACTGACGCCTGCCTGCTCCGTACCTCGCACCACGGCAGGTGAGCCAGGCCACCACTGTGCTTTGGGTGGGAGAGTGACTTCTTGCTAGCTTTGGGACATGCCTGGACATCCCCAGGCATCCAGCTGCCCGCACATCCCTGGGCACACGGCCTTGGAGGGAGCATGCTGCGCCCAGCCAGGCGCCAGCTCTGCCCCGGCTGCTGGCATCCAGGGTGCTGCCACCCACCCTGCAGGCACGCAGGGCGGGACCCTGAGATGCCAGGGCAGAGCAGGAATCCCACACGGCTGGTTCCTGATCTGCTCAGGGCACATGGCCCTTGCCCCCACCTCGGCCAGGGGGTTTGGTCAAAACCAAGGTCCTTGGCAGAGCCCTGACGCGAGCCAGCCGCCCTGCCATCCCTTGCCTGCTGCCAGACCGGCAAGGGGCGGGC